ATATATATATATATTGTTTTGTTTGTTATAAATGAAGATATTTATTTTAAATGTTTATTTGAAAAATAAAGGCGATACCTAAAAAAAACAAAAACGGAACCTATAATTCTAGCAAGTGTTTTCCTCCTGAAACTTTATGTGTTGCTTCAAAACAAAACCAACAACACTCTGTCAAGTTTGAAAAAATAGATTAACAGCATTTGTTCCCGACATTTCTTTTGGACTAAAATAAGAGTTACTTAAATCAGAACGCGTTTAATTTTGCTTAAATCAGTAGCTTTAAAGGGCATGACCTTTTATAAATTAATGTATATTTTTTTTAAACCAACATAAGGAGACACCAAAGACCTTTAACGGTTAGCTCCTTATTAAAAACCTCCCCAAAGCCATTTGATAGTATCATTACTTTTAGTGTTTTTTTACAAAATGTTTTTTTTATTCATATAAAGTTTCTTGTTCGCTTGATATATTTGTACTTTTGTAAGCTTTTTCAAAAATCTATTTTATACCATTATATATTCGAGTCAATTATATTCTGTCGCTTTTATTTTGAAGTTTCCTGACAGGAAGTGGAAGCGGTCGCTGTCAGACGTCAGTGAAGGCTTTCGTTTTCCTTTCTTCTGTGTTGATGTTGCGCTGCTTTGGGCAGATTGGGGGAAAATGGCCGGTTTAGAGGTGCTGTTCACCTGTGTCGCAGATAAAATCAGGTGTCCGCAGGATGCCGTAGTTTGCTTCGTTCACTGGGAAATGATCAAAGATGGATACCGGTGCATCGGATCCGGAGACGAGGTGAGGAAAAGAAACGGCGGTTAAGAGAAAAAATAAAGAAAATAATTCAATGAATTCATCTTAGAATGTTCTCTGTTGATTTAAATCACAATGGTTCAATTATTCTGACCTCATTTTGTCATTTTTTTCTGGACTGTTGAGGTTAAATCGGGTCTCTTTAACTTGAGGAACAAAAACTTAAAATATATTTTAGTGACTTAGAATTTGCCAAATAGAAGAAACGATTGAAAAGAGTTTGAAAAACTTTATATAATCAGTGATTAAAGGTTAGCTGTCCAATGACAGTCAGGGAGAAATTAAACTGCGTTATTTCTACGTAGTTCTGAGCTATTAGCTTAGCTTAGCTTTAGCTTCACCCATTTATGGTAATGGTAATATAATCAGTCAGATCAATATATTAATGGTTATATTATAAATCAGATCAATATCACACTTGTTTAGTTTGGTCTGTTTCATTCTGTCTCATCCATTTGGCTTTAAGGCTAAAAACTAAATTGTGAAAAAAAAAATGTCAGGTCATGTTTCTGATATGAGGCTCCGTTTGTAAAGTTAAGCATTCAAAAATTAGGAGCAATATTTATTTAAATTTAGCGTGTTTTAAGAGAGAAAAGAGGGGGTTATTTTTTCCCAATTCATTTATTCACTGACATTTTTAACAATTTTGCTTTGTTAAATAAGTATTTTGTTTGGAGCTAAATATTTAGTTTTCAAATTAAATATTCAGTTTTT